CTGTTGTGGATTTCATTGACTGATGAGGTCATGTTTTGGTTTGACCACCACTGGCTCATTTCCAACCTGACCCTATGTCATTTAACACTGCTTTTCGAGGAAAACGATGGCTAGGCATGCGTAATACATGTGTTAACCGTCTCACTCTATGTAGCTTCACAGCCTCATCGATTGATTTCCCCTCCGTACCTAGCACTCGATGCCTAACTTCAATATTGTTCACCCTATTATACCACTTCACACGGGATATAGAACGCAGACAGGCACCTATTATCAAAGACAGCTAGTCAGGCTTTTTATGTCTTCCACTTTCAACGGCCATGTCTCGGTCACTGCCATAAAAGAGGACGGAGCGAACGGCTGAGCAGTACACACACCCTTTGATCGATAGCTAGTGGGATTTCATGTCTGCGCCAGAGACGGCGTAAACTGGCATATGCGAAACTAGCCTTTCAAATGAGTATTTGATTTGTGTATGTGGATTTTCTGTATATTTGTATTTCGAATTTGCTTGCTCTTTATCTCTTGGTCAAAACATTTAAAAGTCTGATCCGTCTTCGCGTTTATGTTTTAATGTCGTTGTATATGTTGCTGCGTAGGTTGTAAGTACTTTCCATACCATATTTTTATTCATAGCGAATATGTCGTCAGCATAAATTATCTAAGTATTCAATATGATTATTTTAAATGCAGTTATGCTTTGTAGTCTTTCCTAACAGTTTCGGCAGTTAATCCCGATTGAAGTGACCCCGTTGGTATATCTTATATCTGCTTGTATATTTGATCTTTATTTGATATAACACACGATGGTGCAGTAGTAATAACTGGATGACGTTTCAAGCAAAAGTTATCGCTTTTAATCTCAGAAATAACAACCACTTTTGTTAGTTTTTTGGATAAATTCATCCACAAATTTTCTCTATCATTTCAAAGTATTTGAGAAATGGATACATTAACAACAGTTTGTAAAGTTGCCAGTGTCACGGAATAAAGATATTGTACTACCCTACTATTTGTTGATGGTGACACTTCCTACTCCTTATTTGCCTTACAATGAGAATGTTTTAAAGGTTTGTGGTGAATTCTTAACCTCGTTTTTGTAAGTTAGTAACATTTTTTTAAACATTTGTAACCCTGAGAGAGACTCACAGTGTAACATCAAAAGGTAAGACAAGGAAGCCAAGGTCTACTTTTCATCGATCAAACCGCTGTTTATACACATGCACTTGATGCGTTAACCAATCACTGAGCGCGTGATTTCAGTTTACATTGATGAACGACATGAAATAGAATGTTCAAATATGCATAGTATTCTGTTGCTAGCGCAGTGTTGAACTGTGGGAATATGTGAGAATCCTGTTCCGTTGGTACAAATTATCTGTATTACACCACCACAACAGCACTTAAAATCAATCGTCAATATAATTTAGGAAGAGACGGTTTAGATCAATGATCTTTTTGATGATTTGAGAATCTTAAGTTTACTTCTAACTAACTTCAAAGTGCCAATGAAATTTCAAAATTGAGTTAAGTTCATTATCACTGAATGGTTTACAAATTTGGATCTGTTATAAAGTTTGCGTGACAGATGTGTATATTTCAGGGTTTAGTCTATAGCTCCGTAAGGCATGCCTTAGTTAATTAAGTGGAACTAAAATTAACCGAAATGTTGCTTGGTTATTCAAATTATATTATTATTGTATTATTATTCCCTTGGGTTCCGAGTAGAACATAGGGCTTCAACAACACATCTCCACTTTGTTCTGTTTTCTACCGTCCTCTTCATCTGGCTCCACGGTTTCCCAAGTTCTCTCAACTCTTCCTCACACGATCTTCTCCATGTCACCCGTACACCAACGACCCACTCGTCGCTTCCCATTGGGATTCCACTCGAGCGATAGCCTGCATCGCGCGCGATGTCATTCGATGGCCTCCTCAACTTATGCCCAATCCATCTCCACTTTCTCCTACATATTTGTTGAGTGGTCGGCTCTTGCTTGTTGGTTTGTTCTCAACCAGAGTTACTTGTTGCTCATTCTTTCTAGTCAGCCGACCATTTGATCTTCAATATGGAGACAGCGAAGACAGCTGTTGATAAAAGTCTGCAGTGGCATGTTGGAAATGCCTTTCGCGACACGCGGTGCAAGTTTCTGTTCCGTATCGAAGAACTGACTGACTTCGCATTTGTGTTGAAAATCCGAATCTTGTTGTTGATGCTGACTGAGTACAGAATATTTCCAAACTGGTATCAGGTTGATGAAGGTGCATCTTGCCTTTCGGATTCTGGCTGACTTTGATAGCTTCATCCTTTCCAATCGCCGCTGAAATGATGCTACCTAGATACGTGAAGGAGGTAATCTGTGTCAAATCTCTCCCTCTTATGGTGATTGGTGCTGGTTGTCGTTATTGTTGGTTGGTTATCTTCACCACCTCCGTCTTCTCTCTCTCTTCTTCTGTCTTCGCTGCCAACGTCCTAAGCCAGTTTGTTGGTTTTCGCCTGCTAGTCTTCGAGTTTGTGTGACATTAGACATACGTCATCTGCGAAATCCAAATCTGCTGGATTCTTCTTATCGCTGGTCCAGCATATTTCTGGGCGACTGGCAGGTGATGGTCGATTCAAGAGTCCTTTGAAGTGATCAGCCCATTGTTTGATTTGTTTCTCCTCCTTGGTAATCAGGTTCCCTTGAACGTCTTCTATTGGTTTCATCATCTGCGTTGATCTCTTCCTGGATACAGACTTGGTTATCTGATTTAGTGTACTGATGACTTTTTTGCCTGCGGCCTGTTCTGCTTTAGTTGTCAGTGTGTCGCATAGTTGTCTCTTGTCTTTCCTAGCACTCTTCTTCTCGTCTCGCTGTGAACTCAGCTTTTCCTTCTGTTGTCCATCTTTGTATTGAGTCATTCCATCTTCTCCTCCACCATCCTCCTCTCCTCGCTTCTATTAGCTTTCAGGTAGGTGTTCGTTGAGATCCATTGCTTGTCTTGTCTCGTCTCTTCCTTCTTCTTAGAACCGCTGTACACGTTTCCTTGAAAATCACATTCAGAGAGTTAGATCCAATGTTCTTCCACACAGGTTTCCTCAGTGATGCCACGTAGTGTCTCCGACTTTGCTCTGATCTGTAGTGAAGGTATGCCTTGTAGTTTTGTCCTTCAGTTTCTGAATGTTGAACTTGAATTGTGCTGGTCTGTCTCTAGTTGTTTTCAGGGATCTCAGTTTCACCTCGAAGGGTCCTTGAACTAGATAGTGGTCTGAGCCCGCCCTCATCCACTCCCTTTCGCCACTTTGTGTCCACCAGACTGGATGCGTCTCCACTTCCTTGAGCAGCATTGAGATGAAGTTTATCCGACTTGTGGTGTGTCCGTCAGGGGAAATCCATGTTGCTTTGTGTGTATCCTTGTGATTGTACATGCTGCCTCCAATCACTAAGTCAGTGAAAGCGGAGGAGTCTGCTAATAATCCTCCGCTCTCATTCATTTCACAGATTGAGGGCCTCTCGACCCATGATGAGTTCTCTTCCCGTATTTTCTGCTTCTAGTTTGGCGTTCATATCAACCATGAGGATTTTGATGTCACCTTTTGGGATGTTGTCCATTACTGTTTTTAGTTGTCTGTAAAAATCATCCTTCTTGTCTTGTTCCGCGTTGTTTGTAGCACTGCGCTTAGCATTGGATAATTGTGACCTCCCTTCCTTCCTTTTGAGTTGAATCTCATGATCCTGGATGAAATTGGTTCCCACTGCATTAGGTCTTTGGCTGCCACCGGTTACATCATGATAGCCACTCACTGCCTCAGTGAGTTCGTGGTTGTCGTTTAGGTGATCAGGCCGGAGTAGACAACTGACTCTTCAGTTGACAATTTTGACAGTTCTCATCCATTCCATCTGTTTTCGCAGATTCCCAGAACTTTTATGCCATGTCTTCTCATTCCTTTGGCTACCCAGACAGCCTTCCCAGCCATCCTCGTACCTCGTACAGACATTCCACGTACCCATTCTTATTCTTGCTTTCATAGAGAGAAGACACATCTGCTCGCTGACTGGCTTCCCGAAGGAGGGGTTTCATCAATCTGCTGTGCCATTTCGCCTCTCCGATTCGAGTGAAGAATAATATTTTTTTGTATTTTCGACATAATTTCTGTGCTTTGAAGTTTTTGTAGCAGTTTGATTGGTTTTGTGGTGTAGAGTCGCTAGCCCCACGCCGAATCCTCCCTCTTTATCCGGGCTTGGGAGCAGCTATAAAACTGGCAATCCAGTTAACTAGACGTTCACTCATAATCTTATGTCGTTTGAATAACTCAGCAACATTTTGTTCACTTTCAATCCTCAAACGATGTGAAACATAACACTGGCTTTATCATTGTATGGCTGCAGTTAGAGTTCATAGGTCATTATATTCTAACCCACTAGTTAAACCCAAGAGTTTTTGTTGTGGCAAACGCCGTTTTTAGTTTGAACCAATTTAAGGATTATAAGAGCACACTAGAAAGAGTTCCAAAATAATAATAATAGCTTTATTTTGGATAAAATGTTCACACATTGTACAAAATTCTTAGCATAATTTACTGCATAATATTTTCTCTCCATCCAGTATCTTCAAGGGTAATAACAATCCATAGTATATAATATGACGCAATTTTGTTTGGTCTGAAGCATAGACTATCCCCTTATATGTTACGTTTCCTTCATCTTTGACAAATCGTTACCGGTAGTTTGAAAGCCAGTTAAAAAATGTGCGTGAGTACACGTTGCAACTCAAAATCATAGCTAAGATGATAAAAGTTTGTTTCATTGTATCGGTTATAGATTATTGCAGTTCAGTGATTCAAGTTGGTCACTGTAGATTTTATTATCTATCCAATGTCAATTCCTGACGAAAGATACTTCAAATCCAGTCAAATTTTCACCAACTATCTAACATAAGCTTACGAAATGATTTATTGGATTTTATGTTCGACTTTTCAGTATTACGCTTTTCTACTATTTTTTCTTCTTTCTATCTAGTCTACTGTCAGTTCAGCAGTTAAAGAAAGTGGAATCTCATGCATATCTACAGAAAATGTAACCAATACTGGACGTGCTAAGTCGAATCAACCCGGAGACACTCATTCTGACACCAACTCATCAAGTTGTTTGGCAAACAAAAGCACCAGTTCAACACTGTTGGATCGAACACATTCATCAGTTAATAAGTCATATAATCGAAATCTAAATAAATCGGGAACAACGTCAACAGTTAATGCCACTAGTAGTAATGTTGCAACTAGTCAAAAGAATAAGATTTACTCTGGTAGTGAAGTGATTCAGGAGTGTCAGCCACATTCACTAATTAAACAAGACGAGTTAGCTCGTTTAATCGGACAAGCCCAGATGCTAATTCGAAGTAACCGTTTGGTTCCGGCCTTAGAATTGGTATGTTTAATCTCTTCTAAGTTAAGGTATAATTTGGTGTTAAATTTTTGCGAGTGAACTTGATGAACGTTTTAGCACACTGTGCACCCTGGATTCAAGTTTTTCCATAACAAAACTTTCTATATAAATCAAGAGAATTGTCATCAATGTTGTTTCATTAAGAGCTACTTGCTGTACACTCGTATATGGTAGCTAGTTTTGATACCGTCAAGTGAAGTTTCCTTCATAAATGTGGTGTCAATGAAGTAGATCTTGCTAGTATATATTCCTGACTGGTTTTCATTTGGAGATGTTATGATCCTATGGGAAAGTTATCAGTCAAACTGTAGTTAGACTCTGATGTAAAATATAATAGCTTTCTTAAGTTTGTTGTAGAAAAAACAATAAAGATGAATATGTTCACCTCTGATATATTGATTTGTTACCTAGACGTCATCTAGATGTCTGAAAGTTTACCTGTAGCATTGTCGTATTAAGTAAATCCACTGGCAAGATGAAACGATTTCATACATCCTTTGGTCAATTTACAAGCCTACTTTTTAAGCAGTTGGTGTTAGTTATTATCATTTAGGTATTTTGATTATGGTTATTCATTCATTCAGGTTTAGATTAAGTTAAGATTAAGATTGCTAACAGACTTCTTTCTACGTGAACCTTGTTAAAACGACTAAAACTTTGTTTATTATGCATAGCCTGTTTTTGATATTCACTTGTGTGTGGTCATTGTTGGCTGATTATTTGATTTAGCATATATTAACATACACTCCAATGGTAATCTTTTTCTTTTAGGCATTAGTATCTACTAACCAATCATTCCTACTAGATGTTTGCAGTGATATTGATGTGAATCAACTTTTTGGCTCCGGTGATCATAAAATTGGACAGAATGTTTTGTTATCTCTGATTCATCAGTTAAGCTGTGGTGATTTAACTACTCAGCTAGATTTAAAGATACGGTGAGTTTCTTCCAGTATTGAAAGTAAATGTGTATTACTGCTGTACTATGTAACTAGTTGCCTCTGTTGTGCTAGAGTTGATGATACAGTTGGTATTCTCAAATTTGTCCAGTTCTTCATTGCGTCTATGAGACATGTGGTCGTTGAAAGTGAAACAAATGAAGATGCTAGATATCTTTGAACATAGTTGTCTGCATTCAGTGTCTCATGTTAGCTGGACGTATATGGTCAGTAATGGTGAGGTCAAACGTATATTAATAGGGAAATAGATACAGTGAATTGATGAAGTTATGAAACCGAATCGACTTGTCACTCATACGAAGTTGTCGTCTTACCCGATGAGCCAACGGTAGCTGGTAAGACCAAGGTGTGACATCAGTCGATGATGAACAACCTTTTCCCTGGTTGCTTCCTAAATCCTTTTTCCACCAAGTTTTCGATTATCCACAGTATCTGCAACTGCTTCCAGCTTTACAGCCGTTCTGCCCTCACCACCTAACATATCTAGTTATTCTAAAGCCGTAATATAGTGCAGAAAATGATACTCAGAGAATAATCTTCATTGGATTAAAATGGTTGGAGAAGTAGGAAGCATCGCGATTCGAGTCAGCGTCATTTTAAATCTCCGTGTACTCATCTTCCTAGGGAGAGTAAGTCCTATTCAAGACTCTTTGTCTACCACTTCCAGATATTATGAATTGAATCTTATTGCTCAGGGACTTTAGTATGGTCATCTAACTATGAATAATGCAATGTAATATTCGATTTGCTTTCTCTTTTTCCTTACCTGATTTTCCGACCTCTTATCTATGATCACGACCTGTGAACATCTTGACCTATATTGATAAAAATTGCAATCATTGTATGCTCTGCTGCCTTCTATATAGATATCAAGAACGTGTGTAATTGTAATGTCCTAAATGTGTTGCGTAAATATATTGCGCATTTTAGATAAATTACGTCTTATCGTTCTACCGATGGTTACTTTCCGTTATTCAGAGACTTCATGGGATGAGGCTGTTCCCTCAGTCCTGCCATATTTGCATGTAAGTTCACAAACGGTAATTGGTGGTTGCAAGCTCGCCTTTCCCGTACTAAATTTAAAACAAACAACATTTGTGGAAGAAAAGCAGTATTTGATACATTCATAAATTTTGGCAGATTGCTTATCCGATTCGGTTTGATTTAGTAAGCATCTCTCACGCTTTAGGAACCCTCTGGGAATTCTTTAAAGTTAGGAAACTCTTCGTAAATTGAAAAGGTGATGTAAGAAGGAACGGTCTACATAAAACTTGAATTTACTGATAACTTATGTTGTCTACGTAGTGTAATGGGATTCGTCACATTTATTATTTCCAAAAGTTTTATTCCTTTTATTCTGTAGGATTTTTTTATCTTGCGTCATTTAAATTAGTGCGATACAACCTGTTACTATATAATCAACATTGCTGTTGTACTAAATAAGTCCCTGCTTTTTTATAATTCTAACATCTACAGGTATCTTCAGGAAGCTATCCTTTGTCTTGAACCGAATGATCCGACTACATCTGTTCATGGGCCGGCCATTCTAAGTCTACTCACTGTTCGACTTGAAGCATTGCTAAATTCATCACATAACTGTCTGAAAGGCAATACAAAAACTGCCGTTTCTCTACGCTGTCGCCTTGTCAAACTGAATCGTTCTGCCAAATGTATATTTCAGAATACGTCATCTGCGGAAAAAGTAGAATAAATGAATATTAAGCTGAGGCACTGTATTTCTTCCACTTATGGTGTACACAGTGCATATTGCTCTTAAACATTTATTTCTTTGTATCCCAATTGGTTTTTGAAATTCGTAATGTCAAGAGTGCAAATTAACAAATATTATTACCTTTCATCCATATTCGTCATTTTATTTTACCCGGTCAATATACATATATTTGATGCATACACGTGTTTCATGTTATTTCCTATATGTCTGCTATTGAAAATTCTTCGTACATATACATTACTGTGTTCATGATTGACCTTTTTGAGAAATCTAACACTTAAACTTCCCGTGGATTATAAATTTATGATGCCTACCGTTTTGTTTTTAACCATTTTTCTCCTACTCCTAGCGTTTTAAGTGGAATAAAGGGCTGTAAGTCCAAGTCTCGAAGTTCCGGTGGAGTTACTAGCCTTTAGCCCAGCCTTCCCTCTTTGTCAGGCGTACTACTAGCCAGCTTTAAGATTACGTCGGCCAGAAATCAAAACCAAGTCTCTCAAGTAGCTAAAGAGCATTCCACCGACCAACTTTTGATTCATAATAATCTATATGCACTTTTAAGTACTTGGTGATATATGCTTTAGTTCACTTCAAGCTCTTCAGTGATACCCGGCCGACAACTGCTACCTTGTCGTGGAGATCGTGCTTGAATGCCGCATTGACCCAACAGGCTAAACTGACTAGGACTCGTGTTCCTGCAGTTCCTACCATGTCAGGAAGGTTGTTTGGATAGCGGTTTGACTAAAAGCAGTTACCATGGGGTACATGGGCTCCAGAATCCAATCGGATCAAATGGCGTATGAACCTGTATTGGTCACTGGCATCCATGGGAACGTAGCTCCTGGCACTGCCCCTCTGCCTTGCAGGTTGGACTGCAAGTCAAAAGTTTTGGGGTGGTCCCTTAAGACGACCACCTGCTTCGGCCTGGCCGCCCGGGCACTATCTCAGCCCTCACACAATCAATAAAATGAAGCAACAAACTGTCAGTGAAACTTATTGCGTGCTCTTAACAATGCCCTCAAATAGTAATGCTTCAAGTGACACATCTCTTTCCAACCTTATTTTTATTTTCATACATAGACTCCTGTTTTATTTGTGCTATTCTTGACTTCTTCACTTTCGTCAGCCTCCCACCTTTGTTTGAATTTCCAGCCTATCTGTGCCGTTTCGAGATGTCAGTGAGTTGCTCTCAAAATAGTTGTCCCCGGTGCGATACCTAACACAGATATCCTGAAACTGCGCGCTGCGTTCAAGCTAGCCACCTACAATATTCGGACACTGATACCAATCGGACAACAGTAAGGTCTGGTGAGAACATTGAAAGGCCTCGTTATCGAGGTCTGCTCCATTTCGGAGACCTGCATTCAAGGTCCCAGTGAAGTGCTTTGAATATCTCATCCATCTGAAAGTTTGAATAGTATATACCACCTGCACTTACTCGGGGACCTGTGGTGTTGGCATCCAGCGTAGTTGGTGTCGGTGTCGCACTAAACTCTAGAGCCGAAGCTGCATTACTCGACTGGATCCCCATTAACAGTTGTTTATGTGCTGTGAGGCTGGAAGGTTATATGGAGGTTAGAAGTGGTAGGTCAGATAGGCGGTGCCTATTTGTTGTCTCTGCCTATGTACCGTCGGATTACAACCCGGATGCAATTAAGGATGGGTTCTACTACCAAACTGGGTGATCTCCTGAAACAGGTGCGTCGAGGGATATCGTAGTGCTGGTTGGGGACTTGAATGCACACAGGTTGGGCATCTAGGTGCAGAAGAGAATCGTCTAGGTGGTCACTGGGGCTCACATGGTCGCAGGTCAGATAATGGGGACCGTCTTCTGCAGCTTTGCGCGGATCACAACGTATTTCTAGCCATCACCAACTTCCGGCACAGCCATCGCCGTAGTGCTACTTGGCGTCCTCCCTCTGCGAATAAAGCTTGGACTCAGATTGACCATATTGCAGTCATTTTCCGGTGGCAAGGATGCATACAAGACTGTCGCTCCTTCTGGAGCACATGCCTGGACTTCGGTCATGCGTTATTGTTTGCCAGGTTCGTCTTGCGATTTGGTGGGGTTCATAAACGGCGTTATCTAGTAGCACCTGCTACTTCTTTGAAATACCAGAATGAACTACAATCAATGCTTGCCAGCAGTTCCCCAAGTAGTATAGATGAACATTGGCTTCATCTGCAAGATACCATGCAAATGGAGAGTTTAACGCTTTCGGCTAAAAACCACTGGGTTTCTGCGAGTTCCTTGCAAATCCTGGATGAACGCCAGTTCCATTCTGGCTGGCATCGAATACAACAATAAGCGAAAGGCGCTTACGCGCAAGACAGTGTTTACGTAAGGACCGCGAAGCCTGGTGGTCAGAACGTGCGTGTGAGATGGAGTCGGCTGCTGCATCTGGCAATAGTCGGAAGCTGCTCCAGCTCATCTGAGTCACCGGCAACCAGAAACAAGGTGTTGGCGAGACAGTCTGTGATGCAGGTGGCAGGCCAAATACCAGCCTGAAAAGACGCTGGGCACAGCACTTCAAGAAATAGTTTGGCTGGCCACCAGCTCCAGTGCTCCTTAGTTGGTCAGTACCGACCCACCAATCGAAGCGGAGGTCCGTAAGGAACTCCAAGTGTTAAAACGCCATGAGGTACCCGGTGCAGACAATCTAACCCTGGCTCTTTTTAAAAATAGTGGCGAGACTCTTGTAATGGCTTTAACTAGATTATTCAGGAAAGTATGGGAGACTGACAGTGTACCATCAATGTGGAACGAAGCCATTATCATCCTTCATCGTCAACATAACTAATGTGTCAACCACAGAGGTGTCAGTCTGTTACCAGTTGATTCTAAAGTGTCGGCTGCTGTCTTACTTCGCAGGCTGTGCAGAACACGTCAGGGATTGATTCGCGAAGAGTAGGGTGGGTTTCATTCAGGCCGGGGGTGCATTGATCATGCGTTCACCCTTCGTCAGTTATCTGAACACTGACACAAGTATTGCAGACCAACAGTCATTGTTTTTCATTGATATTAGGGCCGCCTTCGGCTCGTTGGACAAAGCCGCTTTCTTGGACTGTCTTTTAAAGAGAATTGCGCCTGAAAGCCTTATATAGAAAGACCTCAGGTAGAATGACAGCATACAATCAGCTATCATCACTGTTCCCAACCAACAGTAAGGCTAGACAGGGTTGCCCAATCTCTCCACTTTTCTTTAACTTCGCCATCGACGACATTTTGGAGTCGGCTCTGAAGAAAGTGCCTCGAGGTGGCCTAGATCTGCTCCCTGCAGAGAGACTTTTCGACCTCGAGTATGCAGACGATATCGTCTTACTGTGCGATAGCATGCAGACTGTCCAAATCGCACTTAATCGATTAGCGATCAGTGTCTGTAAGTATGGTATGTGTTTTGCGCCGTCTAAGTGCAGAGCAGTGTTGCAAGGTTGGCAGGAGCCTGTACCTGCACTCACTCTTACAGATGAACCGCTTGAAGTTGTCAATAAGTTTGTGTATCCGTGTGGTTGTGCGAGTGCTGGTGGAGGGGTGACGGATGAGATTTCCGACCGTATCATGAAAGCTAGGGTGGCATATGTCAACTTGAGCCACCTCTGGCGCCGTCGCGACGTTAGCCTGGCTGTCAAAGGTCCGGTATTCACTGCTCCGATGCGGGTTGTCTTGCTCTACGCCTGTGAAACTTGCCCCCCCCCCGAGCTGCGGCTCTGTGTATTCGATCATTGCTGTCTTCGCAGCATTGCTTGCGTTCGATAGCATCACTGTGTGAGTAACTCTGAGGTCCGGCAGTGTATGTTTGGACACAGTGGAGATCACCAGTCAGTGAACGTCATCATCACTGGCTTCAGTGGCTCGGACATATGCTACGAATGTCATCCCAGAGGTCCGTATCGGTCTCTGTTCGCTTGCCCTGAGACTAGATGAAAAAGGCGAAGAGGTGATCAGCCCCATGGGATGAGGAATATTTGTGTTAGGTTAGCATCACGACTCCCTGGTTGGGGTCCGCGAGATAGCTCGAATCGTTATCGGATATGGCCAAAAATCGTAATAAATTGCGAACGTGGTGCAGTTTCCTTGTTTCTTCCCTTCCCGACGATAGTTGACGAATGCTGTTTGAACTTGTTAGGTATGACTTTTCCTTCTAGATGAAGTTCTTTGTCCGTTCTTCACCTATATTTTTACTTCTAATCTGTTTTATTATTATTATTATTATGTGGCGCATCTTCTTGGCGTAATATTGTACTGAGTTTTTGTGTTTAAATAAATAAAACTTCAGTGACTACCTGGACCATACTCAGATATCTGCTTCTATTAGTGATATTTCTACACGTAAAGTGCTCATAGTGTAAATTACATTTCAAGGTGACACTTGATCTTTCTCTGAAAAAAGTGTATTGTTGAAGATAAGTCAGGTAGTTATCTGAAATTACTTTTGTGTGCTGTATTCGATACAACCTATATCGGAGAGTTTTCGCCCACTCTTTGCAAATATAACAAGTTGAAAATAGAATTTCTATATGGTTATAAAACTGTCGTTACAAGACCACTGGAGTGTATTTAACTCTATACTTCTAATGAGATCAGTAGTGTCGTGAGGCATTTTGGTAATGAACTTTTGTCAGTCCTCCACCGTATTGAAAAGGAAGTCTGCACCATATTTCTAAGTTTATATCATCTGAGTACCTAAATAGAGAGTAACACTAATTAATACAGGAAATTAAGCATTACCAGTAACAAAACCGCTACTTTACATATTGACAGATCACTCTTAGTACAGAAATGTGCAAAAATCAAAGGTGGTTATGTGCAGCTATATTTGAAAGACGAATATAAACGGTTATCTAGGCGCGTTTATACTTGATAAAACGCAATTCCTGATGAACAATGAACGTCATATTTTGTCTCTACTTGTGGTGTTTATAAGGGTCTTCTAATGGTGTGTTAGTTTTTGTGCAGTGTCTTTCTAGAATTCTGAAATGGCTGAAAGATGAGCCTAGCTCTTCGACTTCCAGAAGCTTTTGATTCTCCGCTTATGCGGAAATGCGCGGATTGAGTGGGTAATAGACTCTTATATGGAGAACAGCTGATTAACTCCCAGTGACGAGAGTAATTAAATCTCTAGCCACCACAAAAAAATGACGATCTACAACTTACTAAAGAGACGTAAAAGTTTCATGTTCTCTTGTGATTTTCTAAATCCATAAGTGAACTGAACACCAGGCTAACATCTTATTGCATTGTTGAATGAAATGGTTCATTCACTGAGCTTATAAGGCAATCCTTAGCTACTTGATGTTATATTTTGCTTCGTACAATTAATTTTGTGAAACATATTCTATTATTGATGACCACTAAATCTTCCAATCCCAAAGCCATGCAGTTTATTTGAACTCTGGGATTATGTTGTAAATATTCCGCAGCGAAACTAGTACAGTATGCAGTACTGCTTCGATTCTGACTCAATGCATCTTTGTAGGAGGTACTTTTCCAAGTAACTTCACCCAAACTGGTATTTTTCAGCGTTTAAACTATATGTAGTTAATCTTTCTAAAAATTAGGCATAAACAGATGGAAGTTGTACGATTAAATTCTCAATAAAGTTAGTCCTGAAGCATGGCAATGAGAAATCTATGATCAAATACCAGAGCTCGCAGAACGCCACTCACTTCCCATTCTCATCCTGAACTAAAAATTCCTAACATTTAAAAGAAGAATTAACTCCGAAAATGTTCGTATTTCTATGCGAAGTTAGTTCGGTTGGTAAGGTGGTGGAATCTCATGGAAGTAGCGGGTGTTATACATCTTATTCATCATATTACATCGAGTAAGAGAGCACTTCAAATTGACATAAAACCATTGAAATATCATTGGTGAAAATGGTGCTAGTGTTTACACTTCATTCATGTCTGCGATCTAATGTAAAGTGGTGATTGTAGTGTTTAAATCCTAAAAAATAATGCTGACGCATGCTCTACAACAGAAAAACTATAACTGTAGAGTACCTTAATGCTGAGTATGACATTGCGTTCTTGTTTCATCTTTTACTTTTTATTTCTATAGATTTTTCTCCGTTCAGTTTCTTCAGTAAGCTGTACTGGCCTTCTTTCGTTTACTATGGAAATACCGCTTACACCCAGAATACGAGTTTGCGTTATTTTCCGTCTTTCGTAGAACTTTATTCTTAAAAGAAACAAATTATCGTCACAACACAATCACCCAACATGTAATAAAGCATAACTCTTTATCAAAAGACCTACTTTCCTTCGTACAATTCTGTTAGCACAGATTAAATATCTTCGTAAGCCGCAAAGTTATGAATGACACATGAGCCAACATAATAGCCTGATTGGACAATCTTAGACTGATTTGTCTTGGAGGACCTTCAAGGTCTATTGATTGATTATCAATTTATGGTTTAAATTCCCGTAGGTGTGTAAACGATATATATACTTTGTGTTGTAACGAATAAAAAAATTGTTCTTGTCGCAGTTAAATCTGACTTGTGTCTATTTCAGTGTTAGGAATATTATCCAAGTGACCAGTTGTTTAAAGGCATATTGTGGTCAGGATAGACAACAACCAACAAATCACTAACACTGTTAAAACACACTAGATTTTTGTTTGATTTCAGATTAGGCATAGTTCTTCAGTGTCTCTGCAATGCTTTTCTTAATAATGATGACTTCTTCGTCTCACAGTGCCATTCAGCCATAAAAACTAACTGCCACATTTCTTGATTAACGTCTTAAACTATTACGAAACTCAGAGTGATAGGGCTAATATTTTCACCCAAATCACACCAAGACCAGAGTAAAAAAATTTTGAATCTGCTGTAGAATCTAAGGTTTAAAATAGTATGATTTTGCTTTTACCTTTTACTTTCCTAAATTGACTGGTTTCTTTTCTAAGTGTCGATATTATCATGATTCCTCCCGATCGCTCTAATAGCCTTAACGCTTCTTTTTAATGGAAAACTTTGGGAGAAACTAAATAGTTGAATTCACTGAAACAAACTAATGTAGCTCAGATCCTGCAAAGTTGTATGGACCAGGTACTTTCTGGTTTAGCCTAGAATAAATGACTCGCTACTAGTAGATGCATTGAAAACTGAACGCCCAAAGCAGCTGCACGAACTTCTTCAACGACTGCATGAGCACGGTATTACTACTACCCACATCGGAGTGCTAGTCTATAAAAAAAACTCTGGTCATCGCATCGAGACAAGACAGCTTCGACATCCCTAACTCACCCCGCAATTCGCTACAACAAGACCCATCAAAGTTGAAGAAAACAAGATAGGCGATATATTGACATCCAAAGCTGGATAGTTTTACAACAATCATCGATGGTTTAGAGACAACTAAGCTGCAGGAAATTGATGAGATTAGATGAACTATTAAATTCTTAAGTGATCTCATAGCGATTCCAACAACTTCCATTCAATAGCTCTTCATCCCAATATGTAGTATCTGGTAACAGACCACATCCGCCTATGTTTAAATCTATGAAGAAACTGTATAGAGTATAGAATTTGGCTGAAGAACTACTGTGATATGCTCACTAGTCGATCAGACGTGAATTGAGATGTGAGACAACAGTCTTCATTTTTTTAGCATTGACGCGTAAGGTAGCAATCCTCAAGTATGCAACACCTAATGCTATTAGATACAATGTGACCAACAGGCATGTCACTGAGATACATCAATAGACTTCTGAAATGAGGTTTGAGCATTGCATTTCGAAGCAACATCCACCATCAAGAAAAAAAAGGTTTCCAATCTATGACTCGATTATTCCACTGAGGATTATCCGAACTACAACAGATTTATAGAAACATTCTATCTTTTTCTATAGTTGGTTTGTAAGGATTTTTATCGCCAACTAAAATGTTTTCCAATAATGATAAAAAATGTAGTAAAAAAACCTCCCACCTATGAATCACAGTAAATCAAGACACAGGATGTTGCAGAATAATAGAGGAACCTTAATTTTGCCTGGAGAATTCTTTGCGCCCATGAATATTACATTACATACAATGCGAAACACCTCAAGCAACAGATGCGCGAGTTAAGCTATGGAGCTGTCAGGAACCAAACTGTGTTAGCTTTTATATCTGGACAAATATTTACGCAACCATTTGTATTCAATGCATGTAACGGCGTTTATAAACCTTTGCAACTACCTTTGCGAAAGCTCCTTTAAAGTGATTACCAGGGAAGTAAAACCATGTAAGCAATGATTAGTTCAGAATCGAATTAGAGGAAGATTCTCCGGACTCATTACCGTTTAACAGAATGGCTAACAAATCAGATCCGAGATAATACAGCACAACAAATATTACACGCTATACAACAACTGGGGAGAAAAATACGATAATTGAAAATTTATTAAGAAACATATCATTTAAACAAAACTTAATTTTGTTTTGAACTACTGGCCTCTCCATTGTGCTGAAGACGATCACATAGTGATATCAGTAATCTCGGTAGGAAAACAAAGTAATCTTATAGACTTTACTTTTTACCGGGGTACCACTGGCTAGTACCTGTGTGGTTCGTACGTGTTGCGAAGAGGTGGTCAGTCCATAACATGATGCCATGAGATGAAGGGTAGTAGCACCAGGGCGGTGAATCGCAACTCGCTAACCCGAGACAGATTAGAAACGAAGCCAGTGACACATGTTGAAATCCTGTTGCTCTCCACATCTGGAAGTAATATGGAGAAAATCCCGAATATTGTCAGTAATTATGCCAATTTCTTCTCATTGTGTTGTTTCGCAATCGCTTCATTTCTGTTCCCTTATATTATTTGATTTTGTTCGGTGCACCTCTTGGTGGCCATACTGTATACTATCGGTCTTAAATTAACTAAAGTGACCATCTTGTAGTTCTTAGAGTTTAACAATTTGCAGTGTATCAGTTAATTTGCTTAGCAAATTATCAATCTAGACATTTTATTTAGACTGATTATGGTTGCGCTCAAAAACTGACACACACAGTCTAATCGTTCGCAATTATTCTAATTACTTTTCTTCTTCACATCAATGTTAATCTTGTACCTAACACTGAGTAGCTATAAGACGCATGCTTTTTTCTGTTTGGGCTTGCTTAATCTTCTCATGGACTATCTTAGTTAACACTTTTATTCCAAATGATGTATCCAGGAATTTCTGGGCACTCCTTTTTAATACATATCATTTAACATGTGTGGTCTGGCATCACCTGGATTGTTTAACGGTAAACTTACAGATTACGTGTTTGGTGGCTTTTAACATAATTGGATAACCGATTAGCTTCTGGCTTGTTTTCAGTTTAATACATGGTAACTTTATTCTAGCTCGAGTTTTCTCTAGATTTTACACAGTCCATAAAAACTGGTTCAGGACTTAACAGTTGCAGTATTGTTCCACAAACATCATGATCGGTTAACCACTTACACTTGACTACAAGCCTAATCACACTGTTAAAATGCTGCACGATTTAGTGTGAATAATTAGACACAGACTACCAAAACTTCTCATTACCACAATTATTAGATAGGTTGTGAAACAGAACAGGTTAAACTATTGGACACGCAGGTACTTGATAGGTGACAGCGATGTAGATGGTAAAAAGCAAGCGAACAAGCCTTTCCTAGCCATGATGAGGTTGTCCCAGTAGTAAGTCTAACAGTTTTGTTTGAACTCAGTTGACAGAGATAGGTCTCTTATGCACTATGCAATGAGCCGGATCCTCTGTATTAGATGATGGTACAAACCAGTAGCCCAGAAGAAAGTAGATAGAGAGCGACTGCAACCTGTGACCCACTGCCTCAAGTCAACTGCTTAAAACAATGAGCCATATTTAAAACAAGCAATAAAGGTTAATAAAGCAGGATATATTATGAATTTCGGTAGAATTTGTCAGCTGGGTACTCTAAATGCCCTGATATATACTTTTGAAATTACATTGGGGTATATAAGACTGGTAAGTAAACAAACTACATTGAATTAGTCATGCAGAAAGACAGCTGCGAATGTTTTCCAGGTTATGTTCAAACAGATAAGGGGAGAGTGAGTATGAGAGATCAATTACATCACTTAGATAAACAATTAGACATTAGAGAATATAAAAAGAATTGCAAACAGAGTAATATCAATAGTAATAGTTATAATAACAATAATAATAGTTTTGAAGTGAGTTAAGATAATCCTACTGATAAAGGATAGTTTCGAATGAATCAAGAATAATAATAACAATAATAGGTAGAATAATAAGTGAAACGTATTACCATGGTAGATTCAGAGTCACGACAATCTCCTTTTGCACACAGAGACCTGGTTTATAAACTCGAATTGCACAAGCCTCTGCAATTGCAAGCATCTTCTTGTTTCTTTGTCTCCTGACAACAGTGAATGACTTGATCGCGTCCGTAATCCACAAGATGTTTTGTTATTGAGGATTTTGGCACTTTGCACTCAGCTGTTTTCAACCATTTTGGCAAATGCTGCATCATGCGAGTAGACAATCGCTTTTCCGTACGACCTATGTATTTGCTTCCACAAACACACTCAAATTGATATACGCAGTTTGAAGTGTCGAGTAGTTTGTTTACTTATCAGTCTTATATCTCCCAATGTCGGTCGGTTTTCGACATAGAACTTTGCACATATGTGCGGCAGTTCAAGTCGCCACACTCCATGTAGCACACAAAGCAAGAGGAGAAATGCATAATATAGTCAGTAAACAGAGGTGTGAGACAAGGGAATAGTAATAACGAAGAACAATATAGTTTCACTTGAAATCATAAGTCACAAGGAGTGGATGCATCTGCGCCACTGAGAACGATTTTGAGCCATGTCACCAATTGTTTCCAACCATTGGATTTTACCATCCCGAGGACCCCAACCAGGAAGTCTACACCTTTCTACGTGGCTTAGACTAACTGTTGTGGATTTCATTGACTGATAAGGTCATGTTTTCGTTTGACCACCACTGGCTCTTTTCCAGCCTGGCCCTATATCAGCTAACATTGCCCGTCGAGGAAGGCGATGACTAGGCATGCGTAACACATGTCCCAACCATCTCAGTCGATGTAATTTCACAGTCTCGTCGACTGATTCCCCCGCCTTACCTAGCACTCGGCGCCTAACCTCAATATTGCTCACCTTATTATACCACTTCACGCAGGAGATAGAACACAGACACCTATGGTCGAAGACTGCTAATCTTTTCATGTCTTCTACTCTCAATGGCCATGTTTCACTCACAGCCATAAAGGAGGACGGAGCGGACTGTTGAGCAGTACACACGCCCTTTGGTCGATAGTCGGATATCACGTCTACGCCAGAGACGGCGTAAACTGGCATATGCGAACCTAGCCCTCTGTATTCGTGCTGAGATTTCGTCGGAGACCAACCCGTTGTGGCTGATGGTACTTCCCAAGTAAGTGAAGCGGTCAACGTGCTCTACCACTTCACTTCCTATTCCTAATCTAGGGGTCGGTGAAGTCCAATCCTGCAGCATCATCTTATATTTTACAGGGGCGAATCGCATGCCAAACATACGAAGATTGTTGCTCAAGGTGTTCAGTAGACTCTGCATTTTGTCAGCGTCCTCGCCTAGAAGGACTATATCGTCCGCATATTCTAAGTCGACGAGATTATTCCCTGGTAGTAAGTCAATCCCTGAGTCGCTGAAGTGTGTTAGGGTTAAGTCCATTAGTACGTCTATGATGTAATTTCAAAAGTATATATATCCGTGCATGTAGAGTATCCAGCTGACGAGTTCTACCGGAATTTGATGAATTCATTAAATCCTGCTATAGTAACCTCTATTGCTTGTTTTAAATTCGTATCGGGAAATAAATGTTTTCAATGAACCATATATCTACGACCGATATGATGTAGCTTAATTTATAAGTGAAGTATTTAATCCATGCAACCATGTCACTTCATACCCATAAGCCACAAGTCCACGTAGACCAATCCTGTAGTATCTGTTAGCCGCTGACAATGATAAAGTGAATACCAGAGCGACTTTTGATAACGGTTTTTACGTCTTTTTATTTTGATAGCCGCTTCGACCAACATGCTATTTACATACCACAAACCAGTTGCCTCCTCTTTAAGTATCAGGAGCCAGTCAAAAAATCCTGAAGACTGGAAATCCGTTTGCATGGAGGCTTGAAGAATAAGTTAGTGTCCTGATTTTGTCTAGTTTCAAGAATACTGGGTAGGTTAACTATTATATTTTTTTAAATCTACAGAAAACACCACTTTAATAGCCACTTGTAACTAACTTTTCACCTCGGAGAGCTGTTCTTTGATCGAAGCCTTCCATTCCGAACTCGGGGACCATTCTGGAACTATCGGGATAGCCAGCTTGCCCCTAAACAAAAGTCGACAAAATATCACAACTTACCGGCAACAAAACAGGCTTTTTCAAGGTTCTCGATTTGAATGCTCTAGCTCTCTTCTCCCAATTCTGAACAATGAAGAAAATAAAAATCGAAACATACATCACAGTATTTCACCCTATACCATAGTAACCATGAAAATACTACTAACGCTGTAACCTTGGGTACTGCCCTTCGAAAATACCAACTTCTATGGTCGCCCTTCAAGTAATATTTAAATAAAATAATGAATTACTATTAGAGGTCTGACTAAATTTGTCAGGGCATCATAAGGTTTCCTATACATCCTTCGGAAGATGTTGACGCGTGTCCACTCTGGAACGTTTACTGGCTCCCTATCCGTCAAGATTTGATCTGCTAAATATTGCTTCCTAGCAACACGATCATTGGCGGTGAAGTTCAACGCCAAACGGTCACGCTCATGTTGAAAGGGCTCAAGACATATCGGAAAGTATTTGCTTCCATGTTTCAGGGACGCTTGGTGTATTAAATTTTCCCGGTATAGTTTCTTTTGGATTTCTAGGACTTCTGGGTCTATTTTCACTGTGTTTCCAGATGAACTTGTGTCCATATCTGGCAACCTATTGACCTTTAGTTCGTAACGCAATGCTTGAATGTAGGCCTTGTGTTGTTCTTAAACGTCTTTGAAGGTCATTAAGGCTTATTTAGAAAGTTTGCTTAACTTATTCGGCAAGTCAGCTGAAATTTCGTTTGATAAATTTTTTTGAATAGTTTTGAATAAAAAGTTTGTTATGTGTTTTCTGGTTTCTGTTTCAAGTGAACTGTGTTGAAATATCGGTTCAATGAAAAGGATGAAATATCATTCACACAAATAGTCTACTTTTATGTAGAAGCTGCACTTTTTGACAATGAAGGCTTTACATGTCTCATGACATCCATATAGTCTGTTAACATGTGAAGCAGAGCATTATTTGACAGATAAATGCTATCACCATATGGAAATCTCTTGAAAAATATTAACCGATTCTTCTTTTGGAAAAACAGTTATTATTTACACGCCATAATGCATTTTTCGTCGTATATATGGACAGAAATTGTAGTCTGTTGAAAGGATTTAATATATAATTTCCCTGGTTGACTCAGTGTAATGCGGATTCAGTGTTTTAAAAATTTATCAACCTAAATAGGTTTGTGCCACTGTGTTCTTATTTGACTTCTAGGCTAACTAATATAGATGATTTTCATGATTGTTGCAAGTGCATTGCAGTGGAGAAGGTAATTGCTCGTTTAATTTGCATAAGTCTTCTTTATGCACTAACTCAATATGTGCCATTTCTATGAACTTGAACTGTGTTCATACTTAGAATTTAATCTACTAAGCTCCGTTGTTATTAGTCAGCTGTGTCATACTATTTCCACCAATACTGCATACTTAGTGTCTGTGGTTCAGTGTTCTTTATCATCAATAATGGAGATAAATTTGTTCTGTAATTTCCATTTACATGAAGAAATGCAGATGCAGTATCAAGATTCAATGTCTAGACTGCATGGTGGCATTTTTTACTCATAAACACAATAGGTCTGTGTATCTTATGATATTTCAAGTATTAATCTATGCTCTTTTAACTTCATGCACAAGTGTTTGCGCAGAAGCCAGTGTGTGGATGAGTAGTTATCAAACAGAAATCAAACATGGGCGAAAGTGACCTTCAGCCGCCTTATCCATCCAACGACCTAGGGCGTGAGGAATAATTTCGGCCAGAAGGTTCTCTACTTTTAGTCGATCAATAAAGTAGCCTATAGTTTGGATCATTTTATCAAAAAAGAGGAGTGTCTTACGACTGGAGTATTTGTAGTTGTGTTCAGTAGTCAGATAAAATCCCTGAAGAGCGAAAATCCGGTTTGCATGAAAGCCTAGAGAATAAATTAGACAGTCTCTGGAGATAGGAACCTGCTAAAGTTCTAGGCTATCCTTTTCTCTCTTGAGGTCAAACGTCGCCATTCGAAAAGTTCATGGGCTAATTGCTTGGGAACTTGGACATATGAAGGAGGAAATGGCAAGGAACACAGCTACAGATAAAAGAACACGAACCTGACTACAAACAGTGGTGGAACAGCCCTGGAAAATCATCGTACATTGTATTCATGTTTGAACATGTAGGCTAATATATGAAGTAGTTTCCTTTTCAAGAATTACAGTACTACCGATAAAATTGGTGCCTGAAGTAAGTTGTCTATCATCAGTCACTAGAATCTGCCCTTAATTTTTACTATCTTGTCAAGTGATCGTTACCTAGAATTAATCTGAAGTCGGTATTTGTAGAAAGTACATTAGTAAATGACAAGCCTCATTAACGTTCCTAGAAATAAAACACCTACTGATTTTGGCATATTTCAAAGTGTTTATGTCCTCCAGAACTCATCCAAGAATAAATACACTAAAGATAACATCTACGTACTTCACTTACTGCATGAAGCAGTGGTATCACTCAGGACTGAGACAATTAAAAATAATAATTTACTTTATTCCCAAAACAGTACTTGTGATACAGAATGGAATTTTCAGCATTGATCACAATAGTGCATCTAATTTCCTCAAGTTATGAATAAAATTCGTCACACAGAAAGTTTGCACATTTACCAGAGTGGTAATGTGAAAAACATGCAGCATATAAAATGGAAATAATATTAATGATAACAGACAAGGTAATAATAATAATACAAGTGAAAATTGCCATGGGTTTGTTTCACACAGTATTGTCGGTGCGGTATAGAAATCATGGCGCGTTTAAAAATATTAAATATGATGTTCTATTTACATGATATGGTCAGGGGACAAACAAAGACTACAGCAGTCATAGAGATAAGTTGGTGTTTGCAATTACGAAAGTAAAACAAAGGAGCAACGGGACCATAAATTTAATAGGAATAATAAAAGTAAAACTTGAAGGTCTAGAAGGATGGATGGAGGAAATTGTTTATTTGCTAGATAAAAAAAGTTAGTTAATTCTTTCCTGACACTATTTTCATCACATAAAATACGTGCCAAGTATGGTGTCACAGAATGTTTACACTTAGACGTGCGAACATACAGCTTTCTGAAGTTACTTCTTGTTTGCCTGAGGAGATTCAAGGTGAAAGCTTGGGGTAAAGTGGATGCTCCAAGTCAGACAAAATCCCTTCAGCAAATTTATTGCACGAAGTCAAGTGCCTATTTACAACGACGTTAACTATGGGATCCACTGGGACACCACTCACCCTACTGACGGTCTTCAGCATTCTACGAATCTTGAAGATGCTCCAAAGAATCTGCGATGAGCTGTGTAAATACCGATTTAACACAGTGTCCACCGCCACTTGAAACAGTGAAGTCACTGTCTCAAACCAAAACAGTAGTCTACTAGATTAGTATGCTCCACGTTGTGCATTGTTTTACACAACTTCATGAAAAAGTATATTTGTAAGTAGGTGTCACCCAGAATGTGCGGGTTGCAGACAGTAGTGCTTCTCAGGCAACATTATAATTTTAGCCGAAAGACTGGCATCCGGCTGAACGAAATAGTTCGTCCAACCGTTGACAACAACAGGAGAACCCCACGTAGATTTTGAAGCTGAAGACCGTGAAACGTCACATTTCGGTATCGATTCTTCTTAATGGTACATGTGACAGTGGTATTCTGGTAAGGAATACAGGCGTAGAATGCACTTGTCAATTTATATAACAAGTTAGACCAGACACTAAGATAATTGGTAAAAATTTTCTGAGGTCATTATATGCCACTGAGTTTCTCGATGGTAGAAGTGAGTGGGTAAATATATGTCTAACATCCTCAAACTCTTGAACCTGTCACGCTTCCGTACATTTAGCTTAACATCGTTAGAATTGAAGACAGCGTTTACAAAGGTATCTCAATAATGCAAATGCCTTATTTATGTGAATAAAATATTCTTATTACTATGGAAAAAAATGTATCAAACAAATCTACTGTTAATAGTAGTGAAGCTGTAGACCTTCATTGGTAATGTTACTTGATGGCGTATCGAGGCGTAATCGGTCTGTTTAATTAGGCACCAATAAAAATATTATGGGAGTCGATAAGTGAGTATTCAAAGAGGACAGACAACCCAGAAATTTGCACATGCATTAATATTCAGTGCAGAAAAATAACTGGTGGATAAGAGTTTTTAGTGGTTACAGGTATCGACGTTCGCGAGTTGTACGGATTATACTAACGCAAGATCTTATACCAACAACTTCTATAGTGTTCGTTCTTCGAGCACCAAGGATAAAGCAAAAGACCAGATTTTGTCGTCCAAAGTACGTAGTATATTTCGGGACAAAATCGCGGGTAGAGGTGAATGCTTAGCTAGCTAGTAATCGTGCACGCACGTGACACGACGGAGTACCAAATGGCGGGGATGCTTGACCGGAAGCCTTCAGCTAAACAAGTCGACTTAAACAGTGATGGTCAGCATCCAATGTTGAGTGATGATTGCTGTGGTTAATAATTTTGGGGAATTATTTACCGCTACAATATGTTCGTGTCTATGTAGTTCATGTGAACGAATGCACTAAAATCCATATACCGAAGTCATTTATATACAGGCAACTTGACGAAGCTCCGGGCGGCACAAGACTAGCAGCATTATGAATCCAGTACTGCTAGGAGTTTTACATTTCGTATGAACAACATGAAGCATTTGACAAGGGGTTCTTTGATTTGGGCACCATGCTCATTAATTAAACGCCTGTTGGCCTGTTTGGATTATGAGACAAAACTGGTTTGTAGATTTGGAAAAACCTGTATCACAGTGGACGTTGGATAGTTACTGGCGCTGCAGAATCGCCATTCATTGTAATAGCTAGATCTCGTTTCAGACATTTCAGTACTCCCATTCTTTTATCTGGTAACACATAAAGCTACAAAGTTCAGATAAGTCCAAGCTATTAGGAATGCTTGTCAAAGATATCAATCCAAGGGAAAATTATGATATAATATCAACCAACGACACAACTCTCCAATTAAGAAGCTATAGTGTGCCTTTCCAACATCGAAATCCAACTATGAATAAAGTTTAATACACACAATCCAAATAGTTAAACATAGTCTGAACAGACAGCTAGTTTTTCTACAGATTCTCAAGCTTTTAACGCTTATGCATCCGAGTATGCTGTGATGTTATTTTCCACATCCTGTAGGCCAGTTGACCTGCAGCCTCTGAGACTTTGATTCAGACTATAATAATAATAAATTTATTTCTGGAACAGAAACCAGCCATTTTCACAGGCATGAACATATGCACACTAATTAGAACTTATAGAATTTATAAAAAAATTAGTTAATCTAGAAATAGATTGATTACTGGTTAATTTGAGAGAAACATTTAAAGATAAATGTACATATAAGGAAATAGATAATTTTTGAGATATGCCTTCGACCGAATAAGTTATAAGATACAGCGTCAAATCTAAACTGTAATTGAAAAAATACGGTATGTCAATTTCACAAGGGAATTATAAATGATTGCGTTAATTGTGGAAGGTAAGTAGCATTTTTGTACAGGTGCTGACGTGAAACATAAGAGATGCAGAATGAAAAATAATTATAAGTGAATGATTCATAAAGTGTTTGGAAGTCTTTAAAACTTCAAAGTCACCGGTAAGTACACCATAATTGTGACCTTTCC